CCAATATGCATATACAATTATATAAACTACTTACACTACTACTAATTTCACAGTTTTCATTACATTGTGTTGTATTGTTACATTATGAATTCTTAGATTGCATATACAATAATATGAAATCTTATTTTGCGCCGACATTGGACATTGCTAGCAATGATGTATTAGTCCATATTACTAACGATCCCTCACCGTCCTTCACAATAATAAGGGTTGGTTTTATAATGATATATAAATACACCTAACTAAAATAAATGTCACGTATCTATCTATATTTGACATATAGTACAATTAAATTAATCTAAACGTAAATTCATTAATTCTATTGTATAATTTGTATATTACTAAAATTGTTGCATACCAAAACGATGGCGAAATATGTGGACAATTTTATTAATACTGACATTCTTTTAATATTTATACCATATTTCATGCAAATAAATACATTTCATTTCATTTCATAATACTTACAACTGGCTTGAAACACCTCTAATCGTGGTTCGCACCCCTAGCGGTGCGATCAGACTAAAGCCGTATCTTTAAGCCGTAGTTGTTCTTCAGACACTCCATAAGTCCTTTTGGTTTGGAGTGCCATCTGCACTCGCCCCCTCTCGTCCGGTGAAGCTGTAAAGACCAGCTGTAGTTAACAGCATTATAGTAGTCCGAAAAAGCGACTATGTCGTGTTCAGATCCTGCGTGTAGTGGATGTTTACACTCTCCTACAGCAATGACCATGTAAATAATGCACTCATCATCTGCTCATCTCATGATGCATCTGCTTCCTGGTGACCTTATCCCATTTATTTGTAGATGGCGTAATATGTTTTTCTCTTCCATTCATCCCTGTTCGCAGTCATCTCGTTATTTACTTCCTTTCTTATCATATCATCTTTCACACAGTCCATCCATCTCTTTTTCAGACTTCCTCTGCCCTTATAACCATCCACATTCATATGTAACACCTTCCTTAGGATGTGATCTTCATTCCTACGCGTTACATGTCCATACCACGACAGACGATTTATCTTCAATCTCCGACACCGGCGCCACTTTTCTTACTTCCTTTAATGTGTTCATTCTTTATCTTGTCCATTCTTGTCACAGCACACTTCCATCCATGTAACTAATATACTATTAGTAATAGTAAATAACCCTGGACAATTAACACAGCGTTATCTAGTTCCACGGTAAGCAAAGCTTGCGTTATGGGTACTAGACAACTGATATAAATATTTAGATACTTTTTTTTGTAAATACATACATAATATACAAACAAAACATCAAGATCGATACAAACAATCTATAAATACAAATATTCGCACCGTGCGAGGAATCGCACCCGCGACTATCGGAAGTAAAGCGGTGTGCTAAACCACTAGACCACCGAGGTCGAAGTTCAATCGTTAATTACCTTATGATGTGAATCACTAGAAATTATTCACAGCCGTTAATTTAACGTGGGTTTTTCTAACGCCTGTACATTGTGAGTACCGTTGCATAAATAATAGCTAATTAGTTAAAAATTAGTAATCATTCCTGGTAGACTGTACACGTCTACGTGAGCACCTCAGTATATATATATATATATAACTCAAAAGTGACTGACATAGTGATCCATCAACGCACAGCCTAAACCACTGGACGGATCGGGCTGAAATTTAGCATGCAGGTAGATGTTATGACGTAGAAATCCGCTAAGGAAGGATTTTGATTAATCCTACCCCCAAGGGGATAAAATAGGGGATGAAAGTTTCTATGAAACTTTGTTAATTTTAAACCGATCGGGCTTTGCATGCATAAAGCTACTATGACGTAAGCATCCCTTAAGAAAGGATTTTGATAAATTCCACCCCTAAGGGGATAAATTAACGCGAGCCGCGGGCAAAAGCTAGTCTCACATATTTTTCGAGTGGCTCCACTGAGAATCAGCGCTACAGTGACACGCTTTTTAAAATATTTATTAATTTTTAAAATTTCTATATTTTTACTAGAAATATAATAGAAAATGATTTATTCAAATAAACTTAATTTAAGCACTTTTGAATAGTCATAACAATTTGTTTTTCATCTACTACTCGTTCGGAAAGCTGTCTCATCACAAGAAGAACGAGCAAGAAACTTGTGTATTGTTCTTTTAAATAATCCTTGTAAGTTTACATTTACAAGTCGAAACGAGTGAATACAAACTACCAACCAGCACAAATTTTTTGGGTCAAATATAAATATACAATAAGATTAAATCAGTCGTAGTGATAAGACTCTGTATTATGATGAATGAATAAATGATTATTATTAATATTAGTACAGCCGCCAATCAGCTTGCTTTGCAAGCTGTGTTTCGGTTGTAGGGTACAGATACAAATCAAATATAATTTATTCATGTAGGACATTTTAGCCACTTATGAACGTTAATTTTTTTGTATATATACTGTTTATTGGTACAATAATTTAATTTTTATTGTACCAAAAAATTTTTAACAAGATTTTTTTTTTAATTTCAAAATTCTTTTTTCACTATGACGGTATTGGAGTTCTAGCGATTTAGCGCAACGATTCACTTTTGATGGTCGCCAGTGCGATCTTCGCACGGTGTAAACATTTGTATTAATGAGAATGGTTGTTTGGCTTGGCCTGGGTGTTTTCTATGTATAATATATATGTATTTACGGAATATGTAATGCGTAGGAATGAAGATCATATCCTAAGGACGGTGTTACATATGAATGTGGATGGTTATAAGGGTAGAGGAAGACCGAAAAAGAGATGGATGGACTGTGTGAAAGATGATATGGTGAGAAAGGTAGTAAATAACGGAATGACTGCGAACAGAGATGAATGGAAGAGAAAAACATATTACGACGACCTCAAATAAATGGGATAAGGAAGAAGCAGATAATGATGATTTACGGATAAAATCTTAAGTGTTTATAGTACTCATGCTTGTGTTATGGGTACTGCTTAACTTGTGACTATGTAGATGACGCTGTGTGAATTGTCCAACAATATATATATACTTATTAGCTGCGTCCGCGACTTCGTCCGCGTAAAATGACAATACTTCCATATAACCTTTCAAACCCTTTTTAATGCAAAACCCTTGTTTTGCATTAAAAAGTAGCCTATGTTCTTTGTCAGGATCTAGACTATCTGTGAACCAAATTTCATTTAAATCGGTTCAGTGGTTTCGGCCTGAAAGCGAGACAGACAGACAGACAGAGTTTCGCATTTATATTAGTAAGGATTTATTTCACTTACTTAAGATTTACATTTATTTACTACGTATTCTATACTAGCTGCGCCCGCGGTTGCACCCGCCTATATGTTGTATGCTATTTCTGATGTATAAACTATATTACTGTATTCAATAAAATCCGTTCAGTAGTTTTTGCGTGAAAGACGAACAAATATCCATTCATATTCACGAACTTACAAGTTTATAATTTTGTAGCAATATTTTTACTAAAAAATCTATTTTAATTCTGTCAATAAAGGGTAACAATTAAAAAATACGGTCTATTTAAAAACTGCCACTTTATATCAGTCGGTTGAAGTAGATTGACTTCATTCAGATTGTCTTGCTCCATTACCGCAGGCTGTGACGTAGGTGCGCCCGCGCATACCGCTTAACTACTCATTAATGACACTGGGTTTTTAGGGTTGCCACTGCAGAGTTATAATAATGGTAGTTTTGGAAACTATTTTATTGTCTATATTTTTTATAATATTATATTATTTTTGTATGACATAAGTCAATTTAATACAAAAATATTCTGGTCTCCATTCTTCACAGGTAGATAATAATATATTTTTTCCTATGGATGATTTTTTTTAAAGGATGATAATGGAATGGTGCACCCGCCTGCGCTAGCGGTTTACGCAGGCGGGGCACCAGTAGAGGATTATAGGAGGAACATGAAGTTAGACCAGTTAGCCCAACGTGACAAATTCCATTGCCATTTGCGTAAAAAAGTAAATAACTACCGATGACGTAATCGTCATCTAGACTTCCCCACCCCCAATGTCATCCAAAACAAGCGAAGCAAAGACCCCCCGACCCCCATAGTTCTTATCTTATCAAGTAGAGTTTTATTGTTATTTATATATATATATTTATTTTTTTATATTATTGACAATTTTTTTTTTCGCTATTTAATTTAATTACCCTAGAAGACTCACACAGCGCCGTCTAGTCTCGAGCTAAGCTTGTGTTATGGGTACTAGACAACTGATAGAAATACTAGATTTATTTTTGTAAATACATACAACACACGTATCCAATTATATCATGAATACAAATGCTTTCATCGTGCGAGGAATCGAATCCGTGACCATTGGAAGTAAGACGGTGTAAAAAATATATTCAATATTTTGGTCATATACCTTTGGTACCTAAATGTTATACAAGTTGTACCCGAGGATTCACCCGTGTGAAATTTATAGCCTATATATTGGTCTGGTATAGAAGCTATATTATTATAGAGTTTCATCAAAATCTATTCAGTAGTTTTTGCATGAAAGAGTAACAAACATCAAACCGTCCTTACAAACACTAACAATATAAGTACAAACAATTACAAAAAACAATTATTGTAATCCAGAGTACAAACAGTAAGATATACAAAACTTTTCTCATTATAACTGATTAAAGTCTAAAAAAAAATTGTAATAAATACTTATTTTTTAACTAGCTACTCGCCCCGGCTTCGCTCGGGTATACATGTATTATATATATAAACCTTCCTCTAGAATCACTTTATTTAAAAAAACCGCTTCAAAATCCGTTGCGTAGTTTTAAAGATTTAATAGGGACGGACAGACAGCGACAGCGACTTTTTTTTTTAATTTTAGGGACTTGTAACATCTAAGTACATGTCAGATGGTACAAAAGTCCGTAAATTTAAAAATTATTTTATACTATGTAATGAAGTAACTTGCTCGTGCGAACCCTAGAGTCTCCGCACCCAATCCATCCGACTGCGCCGTAGTATCGACGCCAAGCTTCTTCGGACACTCGTGTTCTATAAATTCAATAATAACATTAAAAATCGCCATCGCCCTGTTATAAATATACAACGGGTTATTCAAGTGCTTAATTTGCATACTTAAATCTGATACATAGACAGTTTTAAGCATAAAAAACTTATAAACAGTAGTTGGTATGACTACATTTTGGGCGGGATTTTAAATAGATTCTTTTTTTGTTTTTATATTTTTAATTCTCAGTGCTTCTATATTTAAATTAGGAACGTGATAGCCACGATTTTGTTACATTCAAAGAGAACATATTTGTTTTTATTTCTTTTTATATCTACTCTGTGTTTAAAACTATTTTTTTTAAGAATAGTAAAGTATTAGTGTTTGTTTTAAGAATTTTCTTTTTAAATGGTTATAACAGTTTGGTTATAAAACTTTAAAGTGTTTGTGATTGTAATACTACGATTGTGTTTTTTTCCGAGACAAGAGACAATGGAATAAAAACGGCAGGTAATTGCCAGTCATCATTTTTTCAACATCGAAGGTAGGTAATTGAGATGTACAGTTTTACTACAGATAACATAATATTTTATTTTTAATTTTGGCAAAGGAAAATTTTATAGTTGATTTAAACTACATGTTCTATTATGAATTAATTAAAAACATGTAGTAATTTTACTTTTTACAATTTTACCACAGATACATTATGTTGATTATAACACAGAATATAATGACGCTCATGTTCCATAATTAGTGTATATTGATTCTTTGTTATGAGGGGTTGGCGGAATAATTTTTTATTTCTGTTAGTACAAATGCAATACCAATTAAATAAAATAAAAAACCTTTTATATTAAACAGAATATGATATGTACCTGGAGATTTTCATCATATACTTATTTGTAATTTTCTTTTTAATTTGTATATAGTCTATGAGCATGTATATTTTGTTTATGTATATGAATATATTTTTTATGTGGTTATTATTTATATCTTAATATTTATTATAAAATTCATCGTCTTTTTAATCTGTTTACTGGTAGAGAATTCCATCAGGCACGAAGTCCGCCATTTATAAATTTTTACTAGCAAAATTATGAAAAAATAAATGTATTGGTGAATTCACTTGGTTGTGCTAACTGACCTGACTTCATGCTCATCCTATCATCCCCCACTGGTACCCGGCCAGCGTATACCGTTAGCGAAGGCGAGTCCACCAATACATTATCATCTCTAAAAAATTTTATCATATGTTTCTTATGCAAATTAACTACAATAATTATTTAAAAATACAATACAATTTAAACAAGTTTTTGTAATGGCTAATATATTTATAAGGTAAAGCATGTTTTAAAATAGAAAACGAGAGGCCCACCTGTTCAAAATGAGTAACCAATGACAATGACTTAGTCTATAATTTATGATTTTAGTATTTTAAATAAAAAAGAAATAATAAAAAAATACAGAGTCTCGGAGCTGGTTTATTATTTACACCTCAAAGGTAGTGAGTAAAATTATTATGGACACGAAAAAATCTTCGCAAATCTAATAAATAAAAAATATATTTCTAATTAACTCTCTGGTGATGGGAACAGCGATAATAGCAAAATTAATTAGAGAGTGTGGCAGAAGTGCGTAGGTAGCTTTCAACATGTAGTACTTACAAAAAAAATATTACTAGTAAAGAGTGCATCCGGCTCGAAGGATTACCTGGATATATGGTCCTTCAAGCCGGATATGATATATTTCCTAATAAATGATAGTAAATAATGTAACCTAGAGGTACTTAAAATACATATTTTTATGTAGATATATACAAAAGGTTGCGAGTGATTTTAGTGAATGTATTTTAAACTTAAATTGTCGTTAACTGTATATTTTAAGATGAAATAATATCGATGATCTGACCTCAGTAAAAGCCAGTTGCAAAAGGTTATGGATAATTGGTAGAGAAAACAAAGATACAACTTGTTGCTGACGTACTGGACACGTAGTTTTATACTTGTTATGTACATTATAATAATAATAATAAAAAATATCTCGACCTGGCTCACGAGGTGACCGAAATATGGCGGGTGAAGTCCAGCGAAATCATTCCAATCGTTATGTCGGTGAATGGTCTTATTCCAACCAGTCTGGAACAACATCTCGGACGGTTGGGATTCCGAGGCGGCTCACTCCCGGGAAAGATGCAGAAAGCGGTACTCTTAGATTCTGCCCTCATTGTACGCCGGTTTCTCTCCCTGGGGCCCTGAACCCCGGCCGACTGTGCTTCTGCCGGGGGTAAGTTGCCATTTGCTCTCCTTAAGATTTTTAAGAAGAGAATTTTTGAAAAAAAAAAATAAGTAATTGACACAAAAAATTACAAGAAACATATAATTCGTAACAGTACGAATTGGGAATGACGCTTACCGGAAGTGCCATAGTAGTCCTGTAACAATACAACACAACTAGTGCATGTAAATCAATAACACAATCTGATTATAAACACAGACAGGACCAGGTTTCTGCAATAGTACATTATTAACTATTAAATATGCAATATTATTATCTAAATTTATTCAACAGCCTATCAATTTCATAATTCAATACAAACAATTACAAAAAACAATCATTGTAATCCAACGCGGCACATCGAGGCAGCGTACCCAAGATACTGGCAGCGTTGCCTCTTTGAATGGTCATACTTAGCCTTTGGGCAAAATAGCTACCAGCTCTGGGGTCACAAGTAACCTCAATGAGCCGCGCTGAACTATATGTTAAATATTAATTAATCACCGAAAAAATAGCCAACTGTAAATACATCCCGCAGATAGTACTCGACTCTGCCGGTGGTTTAACCTACAGGTTGTTGGGGGGGAAAGGGATTGTTAGTAATGTGGCTTGATAACCCCATTGCTAGCAATATACCATGTAAGGTTGACCTCCCCGCGGTTCCCCTTGGAAACCATCGTGATAAATTCTTAGTGAATTTGTCACGATGGGCTAACTGACCTGACTTCATGCTCATCTTATAATCCTCCACTGGTGCCCCGCTAGCGTAAATCGTTAGCGCAGGCGGGTGCACCATTCCATTATCATCCTCTATAAAAAAACACTACATGATAAGAAAAATACACATAATCTTCTATCAACACATACAGAATTACTAAGTTTACTGATCTAGCAATAGAACTAAAAATGCAATGGCAGGTAGAAACAGTAAAAACTCTCCCAATTATTATCTCGTCCACAGGTGTCATTACAGCATCTTTACATTGTAGCCTCAAAATATTACAGCTTCACCCAGTTTCTTTCATACTTCTCTAAAAAGCTGTAATTCTGAACACCTGTAGAATAGTCCGCAAATATTTGTCTTCGTAATCATTTATTTTATAATTGTCATTGTTTGGTGATATTCACCCGCAATGACAAGTTTAACACCCCATCAAAGGGAGATATATAATATATTTACATAAAATATATATATATATATATATAAATATCCCCTTGGGCACTTTGTGGCTCAGACGTGCCGTATAGGTAGTTTTTTGTTGATCCTTTTTCACTTGTTGATCCGGAGGCCTTTTGTTGATCTAATGCCAGATGACCATATATAAATGTTGATCCGTTTTGAGCCACAACTGTCACGACGAGTAATAATAATAATTAAGCGATTTATACACGATTTTATACAAATCCACCTTTTTGGCATACGAGCAGTTCTTGATCCAATTCAAACGGGCCAATCAGGGTGCAGCATTTGCCAAGGGCTTCCTCATTGGCACGTTTGGGCTACTACATTATGGCTACAGTAACTTAATAATGTCTAGCTAGTATTTCAAGAATAATAGTCTATCTAATCTAAATATTTATAGAAATCAGTCTGGAGTAACGTGACTCCAGATCAAACCTCAATACTTATTATTTTTTGGACGGGAATCTTTTCTTTTGTAACAACGTTACTGAGCAAATAAAGAGAAGACGCAACGGCGGATCCAGGGGGTGCGTCATGGTGGTCATGGGTGCGTCATGACTCTCCCCCCCCCCCCTTAGCCCAGGACTTAGGTAGACCACTAATTGAACTAAAAAATAATGAAACAGCTAAATTTTTTGCACGATCGGAGTGTTGGTGCAGTAGTATTAATTATAATTAAACATTGTTACTTAAAATATAACAGTTAAAGTACTATAACACTAAAAGCAAAATAGGTATTTTCAAAATACTTTTTCAAAATAAATTACCCTTTGAGTTTTTGTCCAAACCTCAGATATTTTATTTATTTTAGGTATATCAATCATTACATAGTATAGTATAGTATAGTATAAAACAAAGTCGCTGTCGCATCTAACAAGTACATAAATAAAGAAAGAAGACTTTTTGGCTCTGAATATATTTCAAAAATCAATTACTTGTGTTAATTAATTTATATACTCGTTCTTATTTCATAGTACTTGGTTTGATCCGAATATATACAGATACCGTAACGGTCTATTAATTATGAATTTATTATACCTAACCTAGATATTTTATTTTGACGAAACTCCGTGTAGTAGTAGTATCCGATAAGGGTATGCGAACCCTAAGTATTATTTCAAAATGACCAGTAATTTCGAAGAAATAAGCCTTTGAATTTTGAATTTTGATTTTAATAAGCCTTTGAATCAATTTACCAAACGGACGCTCAATGTTCGATTCCCGCTACCTATTTTTTTTTGTTATTTTTTTTTTGTCTTTATTCTAATTTTAAATTAACTATTTTAATAATTAAATGAATTTTATCGAACAAAACGTTGTTAAGTATTCAATTAATTTTAATTTACATTACCTATTGTACTTTCTAAATTGTAAAGCAGCTAACAATTATAGTAAGATCTTATAAATAACTAACACAACAAGTAAAACATTTTAAATGTATTTTCTTTATTATTACAAATATTTTTTATGCATAATATAATAGTTAATATCACTTAAAATTAATTTAATACTTAACAACGATTTTATCGATTAAATTCATTTAAATATAACTCATAAATGTATAAATATTATATATAAATAAATACATAATGATCTGATAATCAAATTATAAGTACAGTCTCAAATTGAAAGTAATAAAAACAGAAAATATAGAGAGAACTATAGGGATATAACAGAAAGATGTGAAAAAATGAGGACAGTAAAAAAGTTGCAAATTTAAATAATGTTGCCGCAATTTCTGTTTAAATGAATTTATTACATTATTATATATATTAGGCATACGACTAGCCTTATGACTGTTACTTTTTTTTTAATCTATACATCTATACACGTAAATAAAATTGGAGTGTCTGTTTGTAATATTGAAATAACCGTTTTTTACTACTTGCATATGAATATAAATACGGTATACACCAAAATAACATATTTTACAAGTTTTGTCTGTCTGTCTGTCTGTTTGTTCCGGCTAATCTCTGAAATAGCTGGACCGATTTTGACGGGACTTTTTTTGGCAAGTAGCTGATGTAATAAGGAGTAACTTACGCTACTGTTATTTTAGAAAAATAAAATAAAATTTCACGCGGACG